ATTTTCTACAAATGATATAATAATAGTTGAAGTGGATATTGAAAAGAAGTATGTGAAATGGACAAAGTAATCCACAAATGAATCATTCGTATCAATTTCTATTTACTATTAGACTCTTACTATTGATAAATCCAAAGATTTATATCCATGTGTACATTTATTCGGTTCATCTAAAGTACAGATATTAAATTAAATTGTCAAATCAAAAATTTCGCTTTATAATACTTAATAATCCCATTATTACTTAAAAGTTAGTTTGTCTTTTATTAATCAGAAAGCATTAATCTTTTTAGAATGAAAGAAAAAAATGGTGTTAAAGAAATTTTATTGCATATGGAAATAATAGTTATTGTTTATTACAAAAACAAAATATTAAAATAGTGCTAACATTAAATTCAAGCATTTAAGATTTCGAGGCGAGAAATTAATTTACTTTAAACCTCAAGGTTTTTTATCCAAAATAAATTTTAAGTTTCAGTAATAATTAAGTAATTATAGATATCCTTAATATCTCTAAAGGATTTGAACACATTTATGGGATTAAAAGAATTGATAGAAGGAGAAAATGCTGAAGTCATTCAGAGATTTCTCTGGTTTAATATCATCAAATAATAATGTTTAATTTCATTTATTCATTTGCTTGGAACAATTGAGCATACCTCACTTCTGATAAGTTTCAATGCTATTTTGTATTTCCATCCCCAAGCTATTTTTCTAAAATACTAAAATATACTTAACAAAGTAATTTAGTGTAGATTCTGAATTTTTGTGTTGAATTCGTTTAAAAATAATTGTATTTGATGTTGTTAGAACTGACTCCAAAAAAGCTAACCTTTCTATTGATCTATTGTTGCTTACCATCAATATTAATACTAATTTATTTTATAAAGGAAGTGTAGTATATTGTTGATAAAGTAAAAAATACGAATTGAAATTGAAAGGTGCCCGATTTCATAATTAAGAAAAAAATATGTTCTAATTTTTAAAAAGTAAAAAATGTCATCAGAGATATAAGGAAAGTTTAAATATTTTTGGAAAATCATTTTTATAAAAAATCAAAATGTATTTTTAACTTTAGGTTCATCAAGGTAATCAATTTTCTCCACAAGGAACTTATTTTTAATTGATTTCAGAACCGATTGCAGTAGAGTTCTTTACTTTTGGAAATATAAAATATGCTTTTGTTTATATCTTAATTAAATTCGGCTTGGTGTAAATAAATGAATGTTTGTTGTAGACTATGAGTCTGAATTTTGGATATTTATATATAATGATTACAAAAATATCATCTTTCGTAATGATTTATGTAATCTAAAAAACAATCAGGATAAATGAAATTTAGACTGGAGTATTGAAAATCCTTAAGCTTTTCAGTTTCTTGTACCTTAATTTTATCTTAAACATCAATTTTATTACTTGATTTGGTCATCTTTTATTTATGCATAAAAAATTGCCAATATTCAAGATTCATTTTTAATATATACCTGCTAATAAATATTTATCTCACACTTCTTTAGGTTTTACAAACTGTAGAATTCTTGAAGTAATATCATATATTATACTCATCTCTATTAAAATTAATAAAGGTCTCACCATCTTAAACTAGGTATTTGAGGACGGAAGATGATGAGCAGTCTATATTCTTAAAACGTAACTCTTTAGTTAAAATATGAATCAACTTCATAAATAAGAGTAGGCAAAGATTCATGAATGACCGTTGGCTTACACTTAAGTTCATTCTTTCTTTAGAATGATTGTTACGAAATTCAATTTATTAGTTGGCGGAACATGTTTATAGGAATAGCTCTTAAGTATTTAAAGTTCTATTCATAATTAGGTATATGAGTAGCTAAGTATTTCTTATTAATAGTTTTGCCTATTACAAAAAAAGTAGCATAATGAAAATGGATATTATTTATTGAAAAAAAGTAATCGATTTCTCAAGATTTCGCAACTCTTTTCAAAAAAAATAAATCTATTTCTAAATTTTATTCAAGTTTCCAATATTATCAATCCATAAAATTAGATAATTGGAAAAAATAAATGGTAGAGGTTTTTGATCAACAAGGAGTTAGCTTTTTTTTTGCCTCTAACTTTATTATGGCTTGGAGCCAAATCATACTACCATTCTCAATAATGTGGGTTCTGCAAAATTCATACATAACATAACTTATATTTGAATACTGCTTCCATCTCAAGTCTAATAATTATTACTCTTATTTAGTAATTTGAGGCAAAATAAAATATAGCAAACTTTTTAATATGATTTCAATCATTCTATTCGCAATACGTGATTCATCAGACTATGATGGCAACTTCTTGTAATTTAACTTCAGGTTTTCTAATTTCCTTAAAAGCAATTTTCAACAATTTAGCTCAAATTTTACTCTGAAAAGTGAAATTATGCCTTCTTAAAATTATTATCTTGATTTTATTATATGCTGGCCTAAATCTGAATAATACTCACACATAAAAGCAAGACCTATTTGAAGACAAACAGAATTCTTTGCTTAAAAGAAATCTAATTCTTAATATAAAGATTGAATAATTTCCGAACTTACCTACAGTATTCAAAAAAGTGTTAGTATAAAATCCATAATAAACATCAAATTAATAAAGTAAATTCCAAATAATTAGGGCGATAATTCTATAATTTAAATTAGAAAACTTTGCGTTTCTTAAATTATTTTTGAGGCTTGTATCCAAATTATATTAATAGAAATTGAGATTCAAACAATACTATCCTAAATATTATTTTAGTAGTGAAGAAAAATATAATAATCAAGGAATTAAGCAACAGTTGTTTCTTGAGCACAGTTACAAATTGCATTGGATGAAATTTTGGAGAATTCAATTATCAAAGTTATATTTTACTTAAATGTTGTTTACTGAATCTTCTGAAGAAAAAAACTTTTGAAATTCATAAGAATATTAACACATCACGGCATAGGTAATTAGTATAATTTTGTAAATACAGCCCCTGAAATAAAAATCCTTAAAGGAAGCATGGTTATTTAATGATGTATTGGATTTGAGTCAAATGTTGTTGTAATAATAATTATTAGCTAAATGTGAAATCGTAGGACCTAATCGAATATAAATTGCAGGCAATCTCCTTCGAAATTGTTTTTCATTCTCCATCAAATAGGCAGAGGATCTTGATCACTTTACACCTAGTAACTGAATAGTTCTTCTCTTTAAAAATTACTTGGTTTCATTTATAGAGCTTAACTTTTAGAATCTTTTAAAAATAAGATTTTATTTTATTCAACTCAATTGTATAATAAACAAGAAAGATTTAAAATGACATTTACAACATAAAGTTATTTAAGTTTATTTTATTTTATTACTGTGTAGCTTCACCTTACAAAAGATATGAATAAATTATTTACTCGATATTATCTCCCCTTCACCATCTACTCCAAAACTTATTTTACCATTTTTGCATTTTCTCATTCGTTCTAAAACTACTATTTTATGCCTCTAAGTATTTACTAAGACAAGGTCTATTTTATTCTCATTATTATATAATTTATTATTAATTGTTTTTGAGTAAAACATAATTTTATCTCTTATATTTAGAGTTGAATTATTAAACTTGGTAGATCTATATGCATTCTTTTGCTTGTTATTAAGTTGAGCATGCTTAAACGATATTTTTTGAGAACTTGTTGTTAATCTATAGCAACAAAATAAATTAAATATTACTCACAACCTCTAAACCTAATTAAATTGTTCCCGAATTAATAAGGTTAAGAATATAATTACTATACTCAAATTCTATCAAATTAAGACTATAAATTATTATTATCTAATATTAATAAAATTAAATATATATAAATGTTATCTGAAATAGATAGGAAGGTTTGTTAAAAGCATAAATTAGAGATTTTGACTATAGATTTAAAAGAATCAACAGTTGATGAAGATAAATACCTTTGCATAAAGTGTTTAATGGAGAAAATTGATATTTAGAATATGGTTTTGGTAGAAGAAACTAAAACAATGATCAAATAAATGAAAAGTGAGTAATTGAACAACAAAATCAATGAATATTAAAGAAGAATTCAAAACTTTAAATAAATTGAATCATAAGTTAAAGAAATGAAAGTGTCTATTAATAATACCATAGACAAACTATAATCTAATTTAAATTAGAAAATAACTCTAATGGAGAATGAATTAGATGATTCATAATCAAAAACCACAATTTCTACTTTTGAAGAAGATGTAAGGATTTTATCAAAGAATTACAAAGGATCATTCAATTTTGAAATTCCTAAAGAATTAGAGAAATCTCTTGATGATAATTCTTATATTGATTCAATATTAAATTAGTTATAATCAATAATTAATTGTCCTAAATTAATTGAAATCAAAGAATGTTTAGAAAAAACAAAAGTAGAAAATGAGAATACAGATATAAAGTAATTNCCTTCTTAAAATTATTATCTTGATTTTATTATATGCTGGCCTAAATCTGAATAATACTCACACATAAAAGCAAGACCTATTTGAAGACAAACAGAATTCTTTGCTTAAAAGAAATCTAATTCTTAATATAAAGATTGAATAATTTCCGAACTTACCTACAGTATTCAAAAAAGTGTTAGTATAAAATCCATAATAAACATCAAATTAATAAAGTAAATTCCAAATAATTAGGGCGATAATTCTATAATTTAAATTAGAAAACTTTGCGTTTCTTAAATTATTTTTGAGGCTTGTATCCAAATTATATTAATAGAAATTGAGATTCAAACAATACTATCCTAAATATTATTTTAGTAGTGAAGAAAAATATAATAATCAAGGAATTAAGCAACAGTTGTTTCTTGAGCACAGTTACAAATTGCATTGGATGAAATTTTGGAGAATTCAATTATCAAAGTTATATTTTACTTAAATGTTGTTTACTGAATCTTCTGAAGAAAAAAACTTTTGAAATTCATAAGAATATTAACACATCACGGCATAGGTAATTAGTATAATTTTGTAAATACAGCCCCTGAAATAAAAATCCTTAAAGGAAGCATGGTTATTTAATGATGTATTGGATTTGAGTCAAATGTTGTTGTAATAATAATTATTAGCTAAATGTGAAATCGTAGGACCTAATCGAATATAAATTGCAGGCAATCTCCTTCGAAATTGTTTTTCATTCTCCATCAAATAGGCAGAGGATCTTGATCACTTTACACCTAGTAACTGAATAGTTCTTCTCTTTAAAAATTACTTGGTTTCATTTATAGAGCTTAACTTTTAGAATCTTTTAAAAATAAGATTTTATTTTATTCAACTCAATTGTATAATAAACAAGAAAGATTTAAAATGACATTTACAACATAAAGTTATTTAAGTTTATTTTATTTTATTACTGTGTAGCTTCACCTTACAAAAGATATGAATAAATTATTTACTCGATATTATCTCCCCTTCACCATCTACTCCAAAACTTATTTTACCATTTTTGCATTTTCTCATTCGTTCTAAAACTACTATTTTATGCCTCTAAGTATTTACTAAGACAAGGTCTATTTTATTCTCATTATTATATAATTTATTATTAATTGTTTTTGAGTAAAACATAATTTTATCTCTTATATTTAGAGTTGAATTATTAAACTTGGTAGATCTATATGCATTCTTTTGCTTGTTATTAAGTTGAGCATGCTTAAACGATATTTTTTGAGAACTTGTTGTTAATCTATAGCAACAAAATAAATTAAATATTACTCACAACCTCTAAACCTAATTAAATTGTTCCCGAATTAATAAGGTTAAGAATATAATTACTATACTCAAATTCTATCAAATTAAGACTATAAATTATTATTATCTAATATTAATAAAATTAAATATATATAAATGTTATCTGAAATAGATAGGAAGGTTTGTTAAAAGCATAAATTAGAGATTTTGACTATAGATTTAAAAGAATCAACAGTTGATGAAGATAAATACCTTTGCATAAAGTGTTTAATGGAGAAAATTGATATTTAGAATATGGTTTTGGTAGAAGAAACTAAAACAATGATCAAATAAATGAAAAGTGAGTAATTGAACAACAAAATCAATGAATATTAAAGAAGAATTCAAAACTTTAAATAAATTGAATCATAAGTTAAAGAAATGAAAGTGTCTATTAATAATACCATAGACAAACTATAATCTAATTTAAATTAGAAAATAACTCTAATGGAGAATGAATTAGATGATTCATAATCAAAAACCACAATTTCTACTTTTGAAGAAGATGTAAGGATTTTATCAAAGAATTACAAAGGATCATTCAATTTTGAAATTCCTAAAGAATTAGAGAAATCTCTTGATGATAATTCTTATATTGATTCAATATTAAATTAGTTATAATCAATAATTAATTGTCCTAAATTAATTGAAATCAAAGAATGTTTAGAAAAAACAAAAGTAGAAAATGAGAATACAGATATAAAGTAATTGTAATTACTTAATAAAAAAGAAGAAGATCCATAAGTAAATTATTATTTATTATTAAACATTAAAATAGAAAACACCAAGTTTAAAGATTTAATGTAATAAACATGGAAAAGAAATTATTATGTTTAATTTGAACCCTGAAAAAACTGAATTGTCTAGATTGGCTTGTGTTGAATGTATATAATCAAATGATCCAATCAAATACACTACTTTATAAGATGCTAATTTTAAATGGAATGAATATTTAGGATAAACTAGTGATTAAATTAAAAGATTTTAGAATTAAAGGCAATTCAAATCATCATAAATAATTGATATTCTTCAAGATATTAAACAAAAGTACAATTCTACTATTTCAGAAATCATAAATAAGATAAACACTTAATATTAAATGTTCTATTAAAATGAAATTAATTCATTTAATGACAATATCATTTTTTAATTGAATATTGATTAAATTAATGAATTAACTGAAATATTAAGTTAGACTGATAAATTCTAAGTTTTAATTGAAAAACAATTTAATATTTAGAAAGAAGATCTTAATTAATTAGAACTGATATCAACTAATTTTGGAAAATTGATATAAAATGATTTAGTAGCGACTGAAAAGATTAATAAGATTTTCAAAGAATCAAGCTTTAATATATCAAATGTAAAGGATTTGACAAATGAAAATTTAATAGATGATAAGAACTCTATTTAAAATCTCTAATAAATTAAATAACTAAATTTACAAATATAACATTGTAAAATATATTAAGATATTTTAAATGATGGATTAAATTAATATGGTTTCATTATGCAAACAATTAGTAGTTTATCTAATGAATTCAAAGATGTTTAATTGTAACAAGTATAATATTATTAATATTAATAAGTTTAATCAATATGTATCAAAAATTCAAAAGGATTTCTCTCTAATACAAAAATTAATTGAGTTTGATTAAATTGCATCTTAATTGAAATTATATAAAGAAGAAACAGAATTACTTTAAAATCAACTTATTGAAAAGGATTAATTGAATTCAGAAAAGCAATAATTAATAAATGAGTTAAAGATAAATGATTCTGAATAAATTAAGATAATTAATGATTTGAAGAAAGAAAACGAGAGTTTATAAATAAAAGTAAATGAATTTGAATAATAAAGTAAAATATACTCATTTTATCATAGAAATGTAATGTGAAGATTTAATTAAGTAGAAGCAAATAGAATTGCAAAAAGGCTAAGAAATAAATTAGAACAATGAAAAAATCATTCAATA